TATATACCTATCAAAATTCTGAAACATCTAAAGCGTTGCCCGATTTCTTCGTTGTGTGACCTTAAAATATATGTTTGAACAAAACGGTAGGTTTGCGTTCAAAATTAGTGTAATTCCAAACTCTTGATACGCTCGAGCTTATACAGATTTGTGACATCGCACTTGAAATTATATAGTATTTTACCTTTTAGCTGATGCAAGTTTATATATTTAGCAAGTAGGTATGGCACAACTGTTGTAATCTTTTATATTTAAAAAAAAAAATAACCGTCCGTAATACCGGATAAATAACCGTAATACTCCGAGCTGATTAATTTGATCGGTGACCCCTGGAGTGACTTAGGGTAATATATGAAATGGCTTAATAAATGACTTAGGGCAAGATATGAAAAATCGAATGCGCTTAAAAAAATGGTTTGGATGGAATGGCTGCCGCATCCGCTACTCCATGTAACTAGCACAAGATAAGTGAGCCCAATTTACTTTCTTATTTGTGCTTAATGCAAATTTGTGCTGCATAAATAGCATAAAATTTTTAAACCAACGATTGCCAGAGTTTACAGTGGGGGATGTAGGTTTAATGTTATTTATTTTTTTCAATTCTTTAGGTGACTTAGGTGAGTGAAGATATAACGAACGATATCATTTGTCCATAATAAGGCACTTCGTTGCAAGTCTTCTATCATTTTGAGCGCACCAGATTTGTATTACATCAGGTGATAACTTTGACGGCTACACCTTTTTTAAAATCAAAATATTAAATTTTACACAGACGTGCGCATTTACGAAATACAACGATATAAAATGGCAAGCTTTGCTTGAACCATAAGCGTTTTAGGTTGTGTCAGTTTTCCTAATAGCGCGCTCATGGTTTTACTCACAAAGTGGCGTAACGATGACTAATTGAAATGACATACTTTATGCTCGACTCAGCGTTTCTTCCGAACTATAACATGAAAAATGCGATATATTATAAAAGTGTCTGAGTTCATAATTCGACCAGTACTGATTGTTCCTCAAATCAGCATTGTTGGGGGATAATACCAGGCTCAGCAGATATGATGTTCGCGAGATACGTTTTTAGGTGTCAGTTTTAAAGGAAGGTGTAGTTTGTCTTGTACTGGCAGTCGTTGTAATTGCGTAGGTAGAACTCAAAATACTTATTGAGGCTCTTGAGGGCATAGTAGACAAAATTGAAGCAATTATATACGATATCAGGGTGAAAACTTTTAACTCAGTAATATTAAATGTATCCTGTTGTCTTCCTATACTATAGTGTGTTATGAATTACGTCACACAGCCAAATTGCGTGGCGAAGCTAAAGTGTACCGCTGTATGCTTTATCTTACTGAAATGTATGTATCAATATGTAACAGGACCTCATCGCTACACAAACTGTTTAGCAGAGGTTTGGCTGCACCGAACTGAATATTTCCTCAGATGTACAGCCTTAACGTAAACATTAACGATGATGTAGTGAAAATGGAACGTGCAATTCTCATTTGGTGTAACGCCTGATTCTCGTAATCATTTACCGTGTCAACTTACTTTTATACCATATATGAGCGTACTGTATATAATTTGAACCTAAAGTGATGCTTTATTGCTGACCTGCAGTTGCGTGCGTCCTGTTCTTTATAAATATTGGAAAATCCTGAAGTTTAGTCTTTAATCCATCTAGACAACTCAGCTTTATGAGCATTTTGCTTTAAGTAAGCGTTCGCATTAAGACGATAAGTGGGATCTTATATGATGTTAATATTTTTCATATTGCATACCAAATCAAATGCGATGTAATGTACTAATTAACTCTTTTAGGAATTTGCTAGTTATTATTTGGCTTAATAATAACATGTTAAGGCTTTTTCAAAAATTATTTACTTCGCCTTCCCAAATCCCAAAATCCCGCAGTTTTTTAGAGCTCGCCTTTACACAGGTATGTATTCGCTTCAGCTCAGCCATAACGATTACCCTGTGTATTAATATATGCCAGAGGCACTGTGAAAAAACAACAGATTTAAAAACAGAAGTTGTGAATCTAGCAAATAAACTGACGCGTCGGCCGCTGTTGTGAATTTGTGCGCTCCTTATAACCGGCTGCTGGTGCTGGTGAAGAGCGAATAGCACGTCAAACGCGCCCGGCGACTCATCAACAAAAATCGAATGTTAATGTTAAAGAGTGGAATCGCAGCTGTCAGGCGTTTCCGTTTTGTATCATTCTGGCAGCGCCTGTAACGGTAAAGTGTTTGAAGCGTTGTCATTTCGAGTTCATGACCTATGTCCCTATGATTTCTTTTAGGCTGGCCTTGAACAAGTGATACCCAACGTCTCAGAAGATCATGTAGTTGTCTGCGGCTTCAAGAAACCAAGTTAACAGGTCCAGAAGAGCAGTGCCCCTGCTGTTGAAGTTTATCAATGACCCGATCAATCAATCAACCCACTCAATGATGGGTGAGAAAAATACTTTACATGGTAACGATGTACGAAGGTATAAACTGCGCAAGGATATTTTAGTTTAACACAGTTTTTTTCAGTGTCTTATATATATATATATATATATATATATATATATATAATTTTTTTTTTATTCTCTTGTTGTACAGTATCGTAGGGGCATATAATTGACCGCTTGTCGATAGGGATTGTTTGCAGTTTGTTTAGTAAGCTCGTAGATTAAAGCAGAGCAATGAAGCATTACAGTAGCTTCGCGTCTAAGCAAATTGGATACTATCATTATATCGGCTTTTTCACAATAGAACCCCAAGAATTTCATATGCGGCAACACTTAACAAATACTTGACAAATAACATTCATACTAAAAACTACTGGTTAGTTTGTATATGGCGCTGTTTAGGATAGATTATTATGTGTATTTTGTTTCAGTTCCTTGATAAAGACTATGCGCCATGCACACTGTCATATACTACATGACCCGTAACTTTTTCCTGCTTGAAGCCGTTATTTCAGGTAGAAGGCCTTCCTTGATAATTCTCTCATTTTAACTTTGATTTTCGATAACTTTTTGCCGTTATGTAGACAGCACAGATGTCATTTCCATTCATGTCGGGCTCGCAGACGTGCTGGATTCTCGCCAAATTGGAAAGGAACTGTATATAGCAATAAAGGAAAACCAGCTCAGAGGCTTAATCGAAAATCAGGTGTTCTTTGCAGAGATGCTTGACTGTCTCAAATATAAGTTTAAACGCAATGGTACGGATGTAATAATTGTTTATAGAAACTGTGCAGAATATTTATACGAATACATGCTATTCTACGCATGACTCAATACTGTCTTGTTTTAACTCACGCTCCACATCGAAAGCGCTCGCTTTTTAACTACGTGCAATGATTATTGGAAACTATTTTCATTGATATCACAGAAATACGATTGCACAATACGAAGTAAGAGAACGTTCAGTAGAGCTTATTTGGCTGAATGGTAGTTTGTCAAAGGAGAGGAAAATCATATGCTTATCACAGGCTTTTTCTATCGTATTGTTTATAGAATTAGTCTAACTTAGCCGACATATGTCGCCTTCTACGAGTCACTTTCGTACATGGATTTAGCTCCCGGCAGCGTCACCATCCAAATGCTTATAAACCCTGACCAATTTCTACGCATTTTGATGTCACTGAAGTACACGCTATGATTGACTAAAATCGTGTTATTATTTCTATTATGGCAGAAGTCGAGTGGCAACCTCCAACTGAGCGAGTCACACTAATTAAGCACTTGCAAGCGTTAATGGGGCTGGAGGAATGGTCACGGGTAGAATATCATTCGAAGTCTCTCGATACGCCGGTCATAGGTTTTATGCATTTTTGGGCACGGTACCAAAAGGCTGAAATCGATGCTAGATGCTTGAGGAGTGCGACTTGCCTGCCGTTTACGCGATACGAAAATAAAAAGGTAATAATGATTGATTACGCGTAGCGAATGTGATACACATGAACTAATAGAAACAGTAACGAATATTTAAGACGCACTGTTATTTTCGCCGACCTAATTTTTGAATCTCTTTTTGTATAGCGCATCGTCCGATAGATTACTAAATTAACACCACTTATGAATCACCCTAATTATTATCTTATTTGATTGAATTGAAGTTGAATGTTCCAATTAAACATATTCCTAATTGAGAATGTCGCTACAAAGTGATATAGGATGATTCTTAGGTAGTTTGTTTATTTCCCTGAAATTAAGAATCCGATCAAGCAACACGCTGTATAAAATTATTTGATGGAAACCTTTTTATGATACTATTTGGATTAAATTAATGAAGATCATTCCCATTTGCATTACAAAGAACAGTTTATTATATTCGGATGAAAACATGCCTAAATGTCCCTAAATATTTTAAACATTTCATAAAAACGTAGTAATTGAGACTTTCTATATATTGTTTCTTGTTTTAGGCATTCAGCAACGTTCTGGATGATTTGTTAGCGTATACTGATCACCGTAACGACGGTTATTTAAATTATATTCGTGCCAGACTTTTGTTTCGCTTAAGGAGAATACCAGACGCTCGTGAGGCCCTTTTAACAAGTATCAATCAGACGCCCTACAATTGGCTCGCCTGGTCATTTCTGCCGAAATTCGTCGACAGTAAAGAGACGCTCGCTGAGGTGAGCCTGGTGGCAATCCACGGACTCGAGATGACCTCTATTAGAGCCTGAAAGAACGACTTCAATTATTTTGGACTCGTATCCTATATACCCTCTGTAAGATGACTCAGTAATTAATTAAATGTGGTGGGTGGGGTAAAGCTGTCTTGACACTTTCTAAAAAAGCGGTTGACATATATATATATATATACATATCTTATATAACCTGTATAGAATACAGGTAGATGTTGTGAATATATATATACATATATCTAGCAAAGATGTAGAATGTTATTTTAAACTGTCAAGTACTCTTGCCGTATTCTGCACGTAAAAAATCAATTGCAACAAATGGCAAAAGCTAGCTTAAGCCTTCCTTATTTTGCTACAGATTTCGGCGTTACTTTATCGGCATTGGCTAAAGCGACTCTTTATCGCCGAGGCTCGGGGTAGAATACTGCCATTTACTCAGGACGAAGACGTGACCGCAATCTACGCCGAGATGTTGGACACCTTCCGAGGCTCACCCTATATTCTAACACAAATGGCCATTCAACAACAAAATCAACGGCAGGTGTTTTCTGCAATCGAGCTCTTCAGGCAGGTACGTCTAACCAAACCTGTCTTCTACACGTTTTGTACTTACTACAAACTTTGCTTCTCCTGGTTTTTAGCAACATCTATTAACACCAACCATTACTAATCATTTACGCATAATTGCCAATGCAAGTTATCTTTGGTGAAGTCTAAATCTTTTGTAGTTTAGAGGCTTAACAGATGTTTTAGGTTTGGGTTGCATTTTAGATTGCTCCAAACGTTCTACAGAGAGGCAAATCCGCGTTTTAATAGAAAAACATTATTCAGTAAACTTTTAGGGAGCTTTCCTTTTTAAATTTTTTCCGCTTAACACGTTCAGTGCAGATACTTTTAACATGCAACATCTGTGTTTTGCTGGCTACTGAAAGATATTATTATTATTATTTCAGATTAACCTTTCAATCAGGTCAGTTTTTTTTTATCATTTTTTTTGCTCCCATTTTGTAGATTCGCGTATTGGATCCTTATCGTCTAGATCATCTGGATGTCCTATCAAATTTGCTTTACGTATGGAATTCCGAGTCGGAGTTGACGTATCTTGCTCATTTCTGTATAGAAGTCGATAAATATCGTAAAGAAACCTGTGCAGTCATCGCAAATTACCTCTCATTAAGGTAAAGCGATTAGTTCGTTCAACCGATAGCACAAGTGTTTAGCTTTCATTTGGTCAAGATAAACTAAGATTAAAACTTAGTGTTCTAAGTTCGTAGCTACTTTTTTTGATATTCCTCTATATGTAGGTGCATCTTTGCCCAGTTGGGTACTAATTGTAAGGAACTGGTTCCTGTTGGTCTCTGTTTTTCTATTTATTGCAACGTTTTGCTGAGGCGTTACTTAGTAACCCATTCTATTGTGCGTAACCTGCTTTTCTACCTTTGAGAAGCTAGTTAAAGCAATTTACTTTTTCATGTTTTGGCAGAACCATCATCACTGGCATTGCACGATGACTAATTGTTTACCAGTCGTTAATGTCCGTACATACTAAATGTAACCATTCTAGAACGTTATAGCATGTAGCTGATCAAATAACTTATAACCATATCTCGCAGAATGGCTTCCTTAGTCACGCACAGTATATAATGGCATTACAGGTTTAATTACTATATATATAACGGAAACGAACCCTATTACCTAACTTTGTTTTTATTGCATTGTTAGAACATTTTGTTTACTAGTTTCTACTCTTTACGTTGAAATAAATGTTTCGATTTACACGTGTGGTACTGGCATCAAGTACTGCTTCAGATACGTGATGCCTTTAGGTGGCTGACTTCCACTAACACAAAGCGGGGTGTGCCCACGCATGTTTCCGAACTAAGGTTACCTCATTAGGTGTCCATAAATTAAACAGGCACGTTAGCACTGCACCATTATAAGGTTATTTTTTAACGTAAGGTAATCGTAAACGGCATCCTATTACACTTCTCTTCACAGAGGCCAGCACGATAAGGCGATCGCCTATTACCGAAGAGCATTAACATTAGATCCGGAATACGCGCAGGGATGGACACTCATGGGTCACGAGGGTCTTCAAATTAGAAACACATGTCTGGCCATGGAAGCGTATCGTAATGCAACTGCCATCGACCCACGAGACTACCATGCTTGGTACGGGCTTGGACAGTTGTTCGAAGTTATGAAGATGCCTTACTTTGCTCTGACGTACCATCGGAAGGCATATGCACTTCGTCCGACGGACTCGCGTATTATAGTCGCAATGGCTGATTGCTACCAAAAACTTGGAGAAATGGACGATGCTAAGAAGTGCTACTATAAAGCCTACCAAACGGGTGATATCGAAGGCATGGTATTGTTCAACTTAGCCAAGCTTCATAAACAGCTTGGGGAGAAAGAGTTAGCCCGTGAGTGTTATCGAAAGTTTCTTGAGGAGTGCGAAGAGCGAAAACTGGATGATGCCGAAGAACTTGGCGAAGCACTGGTGTACCTGGCGAAGGCCTTTTTTGAAGAGGGCAAACTTGATGAATCTTTAGAAAACGCACAGAAAGCTTTTAACTATCCATTGTGTCGAGAAGAAAGCAAGATGGTTATTAAGCAAGTTTCTGTCGCCAGGGGTGCGGAAGCAGCCGCTGGAGTTTCGACTTTTAGAGCAAGACATTCGACATCGAGGGACGGGTCTTTAATTTCCAGGACTGGAGCAAGTAGCCTACCCACCTTCAAGTTCTCGACACCTTAGCCGACCAGATGTTATGGCATAAATTGGGTTTTACCAGTGGGGAAATGACTATAGATGAAACGTATACATATGTTGTGCTATGCTGAATTGTTCAACGTAGCTCATAGAAAGAAAAAAATGTACAGCAGTAGATCTGTTTCTGTTAGGATGTAGCCGCATATTACATCGGCCTCCATCGGGCAAACTTATTTTACGAATGACGTTGGAAACTAATTATAGCTTAAATATATTTCTAAATATGAATTAAATATCATTCAAGTAAGCTAAATAGTGTACTAGAAAACGAATTTGATTTAAACAAGTTTAGCATGATGTGGGGGGTTCTAGTTTTGTTTGGACTTTCGCAGAAGCGCACCTTTCTACTTACTTTTTAATTGCGGAAATCTTCACCTGCATGTTCCTTACCAGCCCATTTTTGTAAATGGACGCGTTAAAGTGTGCGCAGTTTATTCTTTATATTGACATAGTAAAAAATAACTTACTCGTTCTTAAACTGACTCGAATTTACGTAGATGAAATATTTAGGTGAGCAAAAATAAAAGGTTATATAGCAATCTGCAAAATACCGAGGTGTTTCAGGTTCACACCTCCCAATCGCATGTGTCATCGTTAGGGCATAATAGTTAGCTCACTTAGTTACAACGGATCCGTTGTAAAATCCTGTTGGTGATTGAATGGTACACTTGATACATAAAATAACATATAATATATATGCCGTTATTGCTTATTTGCTTGCCGTTTTCACTATTCCTACCACCTTTTTCGTGCACAAAAGGCGGCCACTTAATATTTTGGGTCGGATTTGTTGTCTGTATCAAAAGCACTTTTTCCATAAGTAGTGCTTAACACCGTATAGGAGCCCTTCTAGTATTCATTTGGTACAGGAAGCCGCTGCTAAATGAAATCCTACTAACAAAAGATATCCTTTAAGGACGTTATTTTTGTCACAAGAGATTATGTTAAATTCTATTGATTTGTCATCCAAAGTCATCCTGCTGATGTCATTATCTTATCAATATAAACAACGCCTATTAACTCTGATGATAATGGAAGAGGATCGATTTACGGATCAAACTCGTAGGTTTTTTACTTAACATTTGCAGTTTGCGGATTATTATTCAAGGTCTAACTGGAGATTAACGGCTCCAGTTCGGTTATTTTTTTTGAAATGGTATTAACCACTGAGAGGAGGAATCGATTCGTCAATGATGAGGCCGATTCTATTTTAGCAACTGTTTAAATATTACTATATATTATGTGAGAGATAGAAATAGACATACTTATGGTTCAAGCTTGAGCCATAAACGATACGGTACCCTTTTATAATGAACCCTTTCAGAAGTTTCTGTGCCAAAAAAGCCCTGCGGTGTTTCTAGAGCAACAGTGAACGGTTGCTGGTCGTTATGCGGCGCCACAGCCAGCGGTTGATACTACCGAAAGGTTAAGGCTTCACGGGATGGTTTGACCGGCGCTCAGACTCAAATGTTAATCTTGGCTTCAGTCGGAGAAGGGTGGCTGCTATAATCAGCCGGTTTTGCATAAACTCCGTGTTCGACTTTAGACGTTCGTCGGTCTCTGTATACATTTTCAGTGTGTCACCGTTACACTTTTTAAACATCTCACTCAATTTTCTTTCTCTTTTTTGATTAAGCGTTTTATTCTGTTTGTCTGCTAGTTATCTGCTGCGGCCGATTTGCCTTCTCTCCCATCTGCCACCTCCTTCCCTGCTTCCACCCTTGCCACTTGCTTATGGAAGCCCCTCTTAACTATCTGTTTTGAGGAGCTTCCAATATCTAATCGTCATTGTTATCATTGTTGTTTTTGCCGCGTTTGTTGCTTACACGGCCTCTTTTGCTCCGTACGTCATAAGTCGCTGCAGACTAGCAGTGAAGCGACAGGCGTCCGCCGTTGCCCACGCCTGGAAAAGCAATGGTAGTCATCAGAATTGCCCTCTCGTGGCAAGCCGTAACAAGTGCTTTCTCCCTTCTGGTTTCTAACTGTTGTTCAGGACACAACGTCGACACACACCACAACTCGCAGGCTGACACATCGACACGCACGCAGATATGCTATTCAGTAGAAAGGGACACAGATGTAAAACACATTACACGATACACGATTTCTCCCAAATAAAAGCGCAGAAGCCATTTAGTGCAAAGAAGCGCGTTACGGTCGCATTTAGCATCCGCGCATTGTGCCTTTGGAATTATGCCCAACGGGGACCCCTCCCTCGACCAGTACAGCAGATCGCTACTGCACCAACAGCTGTCATTGTGAGCATCACAGCTGGCTTCCTCTCCCTCATTGCTAAGCTGTGCCTTGCGATGCTCAACAGTGCTCGTCGGCTTCCATGAGTCAGACAGCCCCGTGTTGTCCAGTGCGGCCCTTTCCACACGGCGATCCCTGTGCGGCGACCAATACGAGCAGCAGTGGTGATCATGGCGGCGGCGGTGGTGGCGGTAAAAGTAGCGACTGGCTTCTCTTTTCCCCATCTATTTTTACGGGTATTAATTGTCGTACAATTTCCTATTTGTTTATAACTGTATGTCTGACTATGTTTGCTCTCCCCGAGTTTTCACCGCTGTCTTTCATCTTTCGTTCTGTGTGTCAATTGTCATGCTAAATACTCTGCCTCAGCTTAGTGCTGTCGTTTACCGACGGCGGCGCTAGTGTCGTCAGCATCGCCCACCTTAGTTAGCAGCTTGGCGATTGGCGGTCCCCGATATGGCCCAAACTACGAGGCCCTACCCTTCTGTAGCTGGGCAACTAAAGATTATTTATTTACTATGCAGCTACCGCCTGCTTTGGATAGCACCGAGTACCAGTCCTATGATATAGGTAGCTAACGTGCGCAGTTCAGTTGCCGCTGTTGCTACTACCGGCAACGACGGAAGTACACGCATTCAGAAACAAACACGTGGACAGACGGACAGACAGACACGGTGCTCCGAGCATCCCCCAAAGGGAAAGGTTTGAAGTGAGGAAGGGTCTGCCTGGCAATGGTAGACATAGGGTGAGTGAGAGTCGGGCCCATGAGCGCCGCGGTGCTAGCACGAGCGCAAGCACGGCGACTGACTGAAGGAAAAACAGATAGTTGTAAAGGGACGAAAGACAGCGGCTGACGGGAAGCAGTAGACAAGCAAGAGCTAACGAATACGTGCCAGTGGCAAGGCCGACAGCTGAGGGAAACTCCAGATCAGCAGCTAAGCAAGCAGGCTCGCAGTGGAAGTTCACATAGAGACTGTTGGCGACGGCTGCGGGGTGAGGCGCGGTCAGTGAGCAAGCGGACCGATTGAGCTAATAAAAGAACATCAAGCGCGAACAGTGACCCTAGAGAAGGACAGAACTCTTCTCCTTTACGTCCCTTGAGCGAAAAGAACAATCACATATCTAGTACGGTGCTATGGTGGATCAATGCTCCGTGGTACTCGCTTTAGACGAGGGCAACACGAAGTACGCGTCGTTTCAGTTGGGTGTCAAAGCTGTTCGTTGTGATTGTACTGGGGACTTTATTGAGCCTGTTTGCCTTTAATGCCTGGTGCCACGGTTCAATACACGCTGGCTGTCCTTTTCGATATTTTATACAGTAGAAGAAGTCGGTTCGAATGAGTTTATCTAATTGGCAATAGTGAATGTCTTCGTAAAGTGCTTTATCTGTCAAAAAAAATTCCTCAGCCTATTCAAGCCCCAGCTAAAGAATGAGTGCCGAAGTGCACACTCCGCTGTAGGAGATATACAAATGGTTGTCCCATCGGATACGTTCATAGTAAACGAGCAACTGAAGTAAACAAGTGAGTTTCTTGCGGAACATTTGCTGGTTTAAGTGTACGCTTGACTGTACCAAGGGGCAAACGGCAAAAGTAGGCCGAACAAAGTACTGGCTTGCAATCGAACCCAGGCCAGCTGATCAGCCATTGTATAAAATAATGTTCAGAAAGTGTTACTGTTTCTTTCGTACTAATGTGTGATATTTTAAGAAGGGGCACATAGCTATAGCAATGAATGAGTCGTGGAAGTTTTCGCCACCGCTATCTAGCTTACTGCTAGAGACAGGAAATAAACGGAAAACCCGCAGCTAGATAACGTAATACGCCCAAAACAATGGGCTACGTAACTTGTTTTACACACTTACTCAAATACAGGTAGTCAATGACGGAGGAGGCGTGGAAATGTGCGCGTTTGGACGTACTGATTAAAGCAACCGGCTGAGATTAGAGTACATAGGCTGTATAATTCTATTACCTATCGTTGAAACAGAGAGTGACAGCACGGGGCAGATAATAACGAAATCAAAAAGCTGCTTGTGCTCGCATTAGCCAACTCATACGCAAAACCGATGCATGATCATCTATGTGAAAACAGATCGAATCTCCTATGAAGAGAATTCCAGAACGAAATAAAGTAGGGAACAACGAAACTCTTTCGTCGCTTCGTCTCTACCTGTCATTGTACCTTTCGTATTTTCGTTACTTTTTCGTGAAACTTTCGGCTTGGAATAATTTTTCGCCGATACATCGACACTCGTATTGATTTCATAGTACGTCTCTTCTGTCCCGTCGTAAAGTAGAAAAGCCACAGCCAGCTGGAGAACGAACGAGGACGGCAACAGTGTTGTGCTTCTCTCCAGCCTAAAGCTGGCCTGTGTTTCTCTTGATTTCTGTACTCTGGCTCGCGTGGTTTGGCGTTTGTGTTAAATATCACTAGACGCAATGGTGATCCGGCGTGGTGTGGCGTGGCCCGACTCGACCCAACCCAACCCATCCCATCCCACCCAACTCTTCGCTGAGCCGCCAGCGCTGGAAGCCAGTGGACGAGCAACAGCCGGATAACCAAAGCGGAAAGTGCCGAAACCAAATGGCAACTTTAAGAATGAAGAAGTTGCAGTTGTAGCTGCCTACGGCATTTCATTTGGATCGATGTTTGCAACTAATAGCAGCAACCTTAGTCCGATGAAGGGTTGGGGTATTTTTAAACGATAAATAACATCAAAAGCCTGCTCTACCTAGAGTTAATGTCGGGGTTCGAAAGAACTGACACTACGATTCTGGCGATCAAGCTCCTTTCGGTGGCATTACCCTCGCGGAGACTCACAGCCGGTTAACGTTTCGGGTGCAAGAACGGGTCGCAAACAGGACACGGATATGAACATTAGGGATATGAATGCTGGTCAACCTATTGCTAATGTACAGTGTGACCTATCGTGATTAGGATTATTGGGAAAAGGCAACGTGTAAAATTGAAACGACAATGATTGTATCAATACGTATGAAAAAATGGTATATTGTGATCGTTAGATCGCGTGCGATAGAGTAACCACTTAGAAGGATACAATAACGGCACGTCGACCGTATCGTTTCGCTAGAAGAGAAGCGATGCAGAATATGCACAGCGGATATATATACACATATATTTGACGATTTGTGCTTAACTGTACCCTTAGGATACTTGGTTTCATTCATATAGAATCTTCATTTAAACTACAGGAGGTGTCTCTGCAGGAAATATAGAAACAAGTTGTCTTCGCCACCTCAGGATCAGCGACGAGTCCAGTCTGCGCATCGAAATGAGGTTTGTTTACTCTATTATTATATGTTAGCAATGCAATTTTCTTGCAGAACTGATATCTTTGATAATTGTTCGGTAAACAATGAATAACATATAAGAGCGATCCCAACATAGTTAAATACGAGAGTGATTGTAGGAAGCGTTCTCTTCAATGGCCAACTTTATTTTAAAACGAACTGAAATTCATTTTTCATTCGAGTGTGTAAGTGGAAAATAAGTTTAATTATATTAGCAAGAATTATTATAAAGTTCTATTAGCTAGATTGGCTGCTGACCTAATAGCCCAAAGAAATGCCTCCAATTTTATGCCCAACACAACTGCCGTCTCAATTAAGCTCGCTTCCGTACTCCATACGGCCGATACCCGCTTCCAGCGCAGGACGGGGCCTGCCAATCCCCGATTTCAAACCTCCTGTATCAGCAAATACAATAGCCCAGATAGATGTTTCAAGTTTTACGTCCGATACTATCATTGACGATTTCAGACAATGAATTTAATGATATAAAACCGTTATAGTTGCCCCTATGCCAACATCATTTTGTATAAAATTATTAGTGTTTATTTAGGTATTCAAATTCCCCTGTTTTACAAAGCAGTCTTTGTTGGATGTTTTTTTTTTCATATCAGCACCCCATAATCTGCAACTTCAGAATCGGCAATATACCCACAAAAAAATTGCCTCTATCTAGCTATTAATAACGTTTTTGTCCTTTACGATTTTTCTTGCCTCACCGATTAGCGGCGAGTTATGGATACCTTTTCGATTTTCATGGCGCTAGATACCAACACAAGGAATCATCCTCCGTTTCAACTATTAATATTAGGCCTTCAACATTAATTGGGATACGTTGCGGCTTTTCTTAGTTACCTGTGTAAGCGAACGTGAGGCCCACGTTCTTGGCTTTTGTGGAGCTGTCATTCAAGCACAGCCTGCTTGCATTACTCTTAGCGATGTAGGGGAGCATTGATTACTCAAATGATACCAATGCTCATGAATTCTATGTTCATATAACAGAGACCCACAGACTGGTTGAGCAGCCGGCAAGACACGTATCGGACAAAACAGATGTTAAAGTTTTACCACTGTGCCGGTGTTGCTGAAGTAGGGAAGGCCACTGAGGAATGGCCAAAGACGTTAAGAGTCGAGGGCGGTAATGAATATCCTCGCAGATGCTTCTTCCCGAAAAGAACAGCTTCCTGTTTTGGCCATTTTTTTGGCGCATCTAAAAATAGCTGAATAGTAAACCATCACAGCGTAAACTAGCGCGCAAAGATGGATTTGGTTGGTAATGTGAAACAGTGATGTGGACCTGGTAAAATGCTGGTCATATAATTAAAAATAATGATTAATTAGGTGTGTATCGATTCTTGTAATAGTAACCAGTAATAGGTAACGCTGGACGGGTGTAGGTCGAAAAAATGATGAGAAACAGAAAGGAATAAGCGGAGATTCGAGTAACCGCTAGGTTACTATGGCCGCTATGGCATTATATCATATATTTCTAGCGTTCGAGCTTCATGTCCGGCATCGCTTCTACGCATTCAATCAGATGGCTGGCTTCCAGCATGAAACAACGTGTGTCTATGCCCGGATTCGAGTCTAGACCGCAACATATTTTTAAGATAAGCAGTCAAGCACTTTGTTATCACAGGAACACTATATTACCTACTTAGCAGAACGCGACGCTCGTCGCTTCGGACTAACTATTGTGGGTAGGCTATAGCAAACCGTGTGATGCCTATATTTCATTCCGAAGCACTAAAGATATTATATTCAAATTATACTAAAAATCTTACTTCATCGATACAGTCAACAATATTTAGGATATAGTATTTAGCTACCATGTCCTGATATGTTGAAACACTGGGGCGCATATTTGAATAATGTGAGGCTACCTATATCGAGGGCCTGATGTCTTTGAGACAACATCATGAAATAGTTGCACTATTCTGCTAGAGCGGTATAAGCTAAAATTTTTGATTCGGTCCAGGAAAATGTAGGATAGAATGTCGATCTACTTCGACCTAGGCAAAAGATCAACAGCTTTCACTCGTCTTGATACTAAACAGATCAGACCCCAGTAAACATTGGTGCAGACACACTTTGAAGCTTGTTAATAAATAATCCGCGCCAAATATTAAACTTGAACCGAAGACGAAGTTACAACGTCATATTTCTAACTAGTAGCATCTGCTTAAGCTATATTTGAATCTTTTTGAAAAATTATTGATAGTAAAGATAGTGACTGTAGAGTAAGTTTTTGCCGGAAGAAGAATACATTCGAATATTTTGAGGACATCTTGCTTGAACCCTGTTTTTCCCAGATGAAATGTAAGTGTCAACTTACAGATTAAGTGTAAAGTTTTCATTAACAATTAGCAAACGAGCGTCATGTGTCTCAAGAACTAAATATATTTATTTTGCAAATTTTCCTCAGTCCTTGCATTTAGGTAATCTAGTCAAATTTTATTGGTTTACCTACATGGCCATTTTACTGCACTACCAGATTTTCACCAGCCGATTACATATCTGTATGAATGGTCTACGATTCAAAGTACTACACAAATGCGTGTCTTCTATAAACACTGCAGAAGACCTTATTGACCAGGTTCGTCACACGGTATGCCGTGCTGTCTAGTACAGTGACCCCATCGATTTTTATCTAAGGCTTTTAAAGTTTGGTTTCGTTATAGGAAAGAACTATCTTTACAAAAATCATTAGTGGCTAGCGATAAGCTCAAGAATATACATATGAGTCCAACATGCTTTTCCTACGGACTCCGTGAGGCAAGCAGGTGAGCCTCGGTATTAATAGGGCCCCAGGTTCCCTGAAAGAGGCGCCACTCTAATATGAGCAACTGCATAGGTGAGCCGTTTAGTATCTGAAACAGACTTGGAGTCTGTTTCAAGACTCCACGTCTTGGAATCTGGTAGGGAGGTGTTTTCCTCCCTTATAGAAGGGTATTGCCCAGACACCACCGATTCGAAAGTCGATGGAGCTGGACTGATATGCTGTGGACTTAAGAAAAATTAGCATCAGCGACGCTGGATCGCGATCAAATTAGATCAAAATTCGGTTTCTGAGCCTGAGACCGGGTTCTTGCTAGAGCTACGTTTCAGGCGTTTGAGGGGCTCTTTTTTCCAGGGGTTTGAAGGGGCGTACATCAAATTTAGTAATCACAGGGCTCGTCCGTGGACATCGTAGTGGCAAGCCAAAAAAACTGGCGTTACGAGGCGATTTATAATTGTATCCGGTCGGTGATTAGTACTTGTGTGATGTAATGCCTTTCCGTAACTCCGGACGTAAACCTCAAAGCAAATACATCTTGAGCAAATAATTAATTGCCAGAACGTATCATACATGCCTTCATGATGTCTGTGTAACTGAGATCGAAAAAATAGGAAAAGTACGTTTGACTGAGAACGCGCGGTTTGTTTTGTATCTAGTTAAGGGTTTTCACGTTACACAAAGGTAAACGAACATAAATGGATCTACTTTAAACAACGAATATATAGCTATAATTGCTAAACCTTATTTAGGGTGGTCACTTTCTCGCGGTAGATCTTATTCGTAGAGAAGCATTTCGTCCTATCTAGTTCGCTTGCGTACATACACTACTGGCATCTATAAAGTGCGTATCAATTGTTGTGGACGCCTATTAAGAGATATGCTTTGCATACGAAGTGATAATATCCAATGTGGTGGTAAACTATCTAACGGACAATAAAAAAACATTTATTTCAAGTTGCGAAAACCGCATTCATGCAGTGCCCTCCAAATTTTTGTGCACTGCCTTGAGTTCTACTTTCGGTACCGCCGTTTGCCATTCTATTAGAAGGCTGGCTCTTAGCACAAAACGATGTTTGTCCATGTTCGGATTCGAACCCAGATCACTATATTGCAAGTCTACACTATTTTGCGATACCCTTCGGATTCGCTAGTCATGTACCTCAACCTGTCCTAGGCGTTTCGCAGAAACTGTTACGAATCTAATCTAACCCGAGGCTGGCTCTGCACTGTCTTCTTGACCTACAGCAAACAGATGGTATAAAAAGTCACACAGATACTGTCATTTGCGACGACATGTGTTCGGCCTTGATGGCAGACGCGACTACGTGTCTGGCGAAGGCATAAGGACCTAGCGCTGCCTCTCTCAGGCCGACCTCAAGGCTAATCGCCTACACGACTGCGAGATTAGAACAAGGAACACAGTGACACACGAAGAATATATAAAAATCTCGCTACGTGTGTTCGAGCGCTATACAATACCAACTATGTTGCCAAGGGTATGCTATAGTAAATAGCGGCTGTGAGTACGAAGAACGGCTATTGAAAGCTGCTGCTGCTGTTGCTATATGGTGAAAGACGATAAAGAGGCTTGTGTTGACTATCATGGCTGCTCGTCGTTGTAACATTAGTTCTATTATTATTATTATTACTATAAGGAAATTGCCCCTAAGGGTAAGAAGTGTTTGGACTTGACGTGGACCAACGGACATCAGAAAGCATCATTTAAAAACGAACCAGCTTCTTGTTACGTAACAGAAACTACTCACATCAAGAGAATGAGCGTTAATTTAAAGATATAAACAATCGTTATATTATAAAGGAGAAAAGAAAAGGTAGCAAGTTAGTCGCGCGCTACAGCATGAACGTTTTTAGGTAAATCAAAATCATTAAGGTTACCTAGGTGACTATGTATAGAGTAATAACGGCTTAATTGGGCCCCTCCTAACCTAGCTAACCACATTCAAAGTATTACATACTATCTGCTTTTGGCAAGAGACAGCGCTGAATGACGTCGAGCTGGTTGACGAGGCCTGATTAGTGCCTCAATAGGTTCAACAGAAACAAACATATTTTTAAAAATGGCTAACTCAATCTCATAGTAGGATCACCCTCTATTCAGGCTAGACTCTCGAAACCCTACGACGCAGTGTGAAATATATTTCGATGTATCCCTGCATTGCTACTGCCCCTGTTTCATAAGCCGCGTCGGCCACTGTCAGTCCATGTTGGTTTACCGCAACGGAGGTTCGTTGTGTAAAAGGGAACCGACAGGTTGGGCTCGGATAGCGTAATATATGAGGTTTTAGTGCGAGTTTTCCCCAGCGTCTACCGTGATTCCGGAGGCCACGACCAACTAAGCAAATCGCGGACTTCGTTCTTCACAAATTTCCTCGTGCTTATCCTGTTGCTCTTCGACCCACGGAAGAACATCGCACTGCCAGTACCTGCAACAGCTCGTCGCTGCTGCTCGTGATTTCCTCCATTAACGCCTAATCACGGCTTCTACTAGAGAACTTCAGGACTCCTGTGTATGGTCATACACTTAGTGAAAAATCACGAACGCAGAATGCTCTAACACGACTAAATTGCTATATATTCTACGGTTGTGCGGGCCGAGGGCCAAGCAAGACACAGCTCTATCGTTTCGATGATCTGCCTGCAACCTGCTCTCACAAGCTGCCGTAACCAGGACCATGTTACCCTAGCGTCCTTGGCCGACGGCCTAATAGGATCGGGAGACGAAAAAACGCTAGAAACGACGCCGAAAAAGACTGGCTGGGAACTGCAAATGCTGCTAATGCGTGACTGATCTATGACTAAATAGTTCTAAGAGTTAAATAACCTCCAACTACTCGTTCTGTGAAAGCAAATTTTTGGCATCTGCTTTTCGATATTCTTTCACATCATTAATTCCTGGTATTTCTTTTAAAATAGCGCTGTCCATTCATAGTATCTCCACTGGCTCGTAAATGCGCTACTGTGATACGTATTTAAAATTTTGCCCACTTCACGTAACCTTGTAGCGTTTCTCTATAATAAGTCATTATTAGTTACCATCATCAAGTTACTCATATTTGTTTACAGCAAAGTTTCTTATTTGCGTTAATTTTGACGTAGATAGGTGTCGCTGGTTAAATATAAAGCAGTGATTCTTGCTCTTAAGTTCATATTTTAGATGAATTCCTATGTACGACCGCAATAGCCCTGTGCAGTTACTTTCTATTCGCATTTACTTATAGCAGAATAAATAGTGATAAAGCTTATTTTACGCCGTTGGATTTGAATCCTTTATGTCAGTCGCCTTAATCGCTAACTAGATATCAAGGAGAACTATGGAAATCGTTTCCAGATAAGTTATGCCCGTGACGAATACGTTGGAAACTTTAACGCGGACGTTTATAGGGAGCGCGTTAATCTCTAGCAATTCGAACTTTGCTAAGCATAAAAGATTTCGACATTTGAGTACTCGACACCTGAAAAAAACTACTAAACTAAGAAGTTTAGTATATACATAACGACGACTGGTAATCTACTTTGGTATGGAAAATATTGTGAAGTGAATATTGCAGCGTGGGTCGTGCGCAAGTTTCTCAATGGCGTCTGTTTCGCAGTGGAAAGTTAAACTTTAGTAAATATACCCGCACGGCTTCGGATGTCTTCGACCGGCTCGTCTTGTTAAACGCAATAAGTTAAAAGCTTCCTTGTTATTTGGTATAGAATCGGTGCTTTTCATGATCTTCTGTGAATACACGGAACTGGTGCGAGATTATTTTTTTTTTTCAAATAAGTAGTAATTTCCAAAGTAAATGACAGTAGATCGAGTTGGCGACATTATTTCAACGTCTTCGTATCCGTACAGCTTTTTGCGTACTTATCCAAAATTTCATAAAGGATCACTGTAGGATCCTCTAGCATTCATGTAGAACTTCTATTAATATGGGCTTATACTATCGAAATATCTCGTAGGGAATACTGTTTATACAGTTCATGTAGCCTAGATCATGACGAGTACATGCACAAATGTATAAACTTGAGTGCTCACTTAATCAAGCGAGGTTAATTTTAAGTTAACTTATATAGAGGCCATGTTTGAAAATACATAGATATTACACAAGTACAAATTCTGACGGAATAAAATACGAACGGCTTAAAAGGCAGTACTTTTTTCTTCTTTTTTTGTAGCATTACACCTAGTGAATGAATTTTGCAGCTCAACCGTTACCGCTGCTTGCCACATTCAATCTGTTCGGGCCTCGTACTTACCAACATCCTAGACAAAAGCTAACAGACTGAAGGGTACGGTATATCCGAAAAAGTTCAGTTGCCTCACTTTCTACGCTTTACTACGTCATAGGGCGTAGAGCATGTTCTGGCAACAGCTGAGAATCGCTGCAGCTCTGCCCCATAAAGAATCTTGGTACTGTACAACCGGTCCAACAAGCGGTCATCTTTTAATTTTATAGAAACCAGGGCGAGAGGTAGCGACCTGAAGCTGTTGCGCTGTTTAATTGCTGGACGTTTCTTCGCTTCTCGTGTCGCAGCATTATTGCCTGTGGGCCACTTCAAGGAAGTACGTGAAACCACTACGACTACCCTGTTTTCCCGACGTAACAATTTCACTTTATATTTTGCCGCTGGCAAACACAATGTCCATTTGGTTCCGTCTAAACGTCTGAAACGCGCAAGGCCTACCGCCGGTTTGACATTTGTCCTGAGTATTCATATGCTGACACCTGTTCTAGCTTCCCTCTTTGCCCCTACTTGCAAACAGGTGCAGACAGCGCGACGGTGTGCAGTGTATAGTAAACGGGAGACGTAAATTAAGACCTCTTCGATCCGTTTGCAGTGTCAGGGTAGTTTCTACAGCAGCAGAGCTGAGCAAAACGTGATACAGCCTTAACCAGCCTCTGGTTTGGCATCAAGCCATGGCGTTATCCTGCAAAAGTTACAACCAAAGATTACGGAAAGAACTTGATAAACTAAGCGTGATTAAGCATACAGCATGCTCTGCTATTGCTGACGGAAGGATGGTCTCTATTACAAAACACCCCACCATCAATGGCACATCTGGTCAAAAACTAATTGAAATGAACTGATTGCCTTAAGTGTTTTTGTTGTGGTTATGCCTGTACTATTACGGCACGTTGAGACAGGGTTCCAGTAATGTTGGGACAGTAACAGTTCGGAGGAGCCAGACAATAGTATAATCAAATTAAGCATACATCCAGCTCACGAGAACAGATTGTTGCGAAGCGAGTGGATGCCGCTGATAGCGAAGAAGTGAATGAAAGTCAGATAGACCATGGCCAAGGAAACACTGCCATTAAGTCTTGTCCTGTCAGGTTTTGCTGTTGTTTTTTACGGAGAGAGTGAAAATAATGCTATGATAATAAATGCATCCGTTTGGACTGATTAGCCATGACAGGAATTAATAGCCAACTCTGGGTGTGCTCCGTTAGCTACCAAGGATTAGCTAATATAGATAAAAAAAAAAAAAATTTGTTACGTGTGTGTGTTTGTATGGTTTAGGCAACTTGTGTACACATGTCAATATGGGTCGAGGAGCCATGGAGTATGTCGCAGACGGTTTCTATTTGTGTCGCTCGTAGGAGAAAAAAATTGAATTTAATCAGTCCCAAACGGACTATGTGAACCCTCCATTGTGATGCAGGGACATCGTGTTCGTCTGCTAAACTGTGAGAGGCGGTTCACAAGATCTTACAACAACAAAAACTTTATGGCACTTGTGCATACTAGTAAATCGAAGATTCTTTTCTACCTGTTTTTTTTAGGTGCGTACAGCTTATAACTGTTACACTAACAGGAGATACCCTGCGTATAGCTACAGGATTTCGTTTAACGCTCGATTTGAAAGACATCTAGCGGCCTTAAAGGACGCCGGCAAAGGTCCATTCAGTCTCAAAATCGAAAAGGTTGTTCACTCTTCCATTTACCAAATTCTACTATCTCTACTTCTATTAGTCCTTGTACAGAGTAATACCGTTACCCGCGTACGGGGGAAATGAGTTAGTTAAACTTTAAAGGCTAAGCGCCCTTAGGGGGGTGGCTTTTGAATTGTGTCTAAGCTGTAAATGATTACTAATCGTAAACGTTTCTTATGATTAGAAACATGAAAAAAAAAAAAAAAAAAAAAGAAAAACAAAAATAAAGTAATGTCTGGTACCCTACATACTAGTACATATACTAAGGAAATTTTTCACAGCTTACCTTGTCAGCTGATACTTTATGCGCTCTGTAAACCCAGTGGGACAAGCAGCAATATGTGAAACTCGATATACATATGCGTGAATTCACGTAATTCACGCATGTTCAAGTGATGATTACTGAACCCTGAAAAAGCTCTTTTATATAGCAGATAGAAAGCTCTTATGAGGCTTTATTTAGATATATATAGATATAATAATTTTCCATTAGTGGCGCAGCAGCAGCGACTTTAGCATAATTTCTAAATCACGTTTCTCACGCTAAAAGTGCCTTTTTTTAATCGAAACATATACGGCGAAGGCCATAGTAGTAACAGTAAGAAACTGCTGTCGCGAAATCTAATTCGCTCCCTGGGCAAAACAGCTACAACTGGCTGTAGAGTCGTCGTCGTCACCACACACGCCATAGATATAATAACGTATGTTATAGCAATTCCGCTGCGGTAGGGGTCATGCCACCGTTACCACACCATTACGTTACGCAGGAGGACATCCACTTGCCGTTGCCCATTTGGATATGCCGCTGGTTTCCAGCAGCAGCAAACGTCTTACAGCCCATTCGAACCACTGACCACTGAGCATTAGAGCGAATAGATAAAGAATGCCCTTGACGACACGGCACAACTAGTAACCTCTCGATGGTCGACCAAACGACCGAGGACTGGAGATTTCGCAGACAGGCCGATTTCCAAATTGGGGGATGAACTAACGTGAGTCAACAAGGGCAAAATCGAAATTGGCAACGCTCTTTTCTTTCCTTCACTCCCTTGTCTTAATGTTTGCCTCCGCTTTTGCAGGTAATAGAATTTGTCAACGTAACTACCAGATTATGCCGGTACATTAGCTTACGTTTGCTATCGTAATTAGTTGATTGGTTTAAAACATTCGTTTTCTGTGTAGGTTATGGACTAATCCTATTTAATGGCCGCGACAAGCCAAGAAACAACAGCATACAGAAGGAGATGTGGTTTGACACGAATGATTTTGATGAAGGCCTGTAGAAGAGAAGATGGAGGCGCAGCAGAGGGCTAAGTAAGAACAGATCATCAGACCGTCAGAAAATTGCCACATGCTAACTGTGACAAAATGCGTCGTACTTACTTCTCGTAAACAGAAATTTCTTCCGAATTAGCAAAATAGCATCTCTGTGAACAAGCGTGCCGGTAAGTGTCGTTCGGAAATAGTCGGCCGCCGTTGAAAAGTTCAACATGCAACTAAGCGTCCTCTTTTTGGGCAATTTTCTTCAACGTCAAAAACATTATCCGATTTGATCTTGATTATTTGTATCCGTGATACCTACATGCGGATGTTGTTCGTGATACTTCGCAAGCAACGAATTACCTCGTTTGTTTCACTATAAAAATACTACAGCATGTTTTACTATAAAAAATTCTTACTGTTTCTTAAATTTGGATCTATTTCTTCCTTCTGTAAATTACGAATTGGACTATGAACTCCAAAAATTACTTTCTGGTGGCCAATTTGTAACGTGTCTAACGTCACGAGACAACATGGCGCTATGCGACTCCGTAGATTCATTGGCGAGTGCCAAGTTCCCATAGTCCAATATAAACTGGATAATGATATATAAGGGAATCATCACACAAACACGTGCATCCAATGGAGAAGTACACTGGCTGAAATTTAAATAAATTAGTGCCCTTTTGCCGGTAGACAGGTTTTATCTGCAGGTATACTGTCTACCCAGCTTCGTTTCAACAGGCGACGGCCTTTCCTTAGTTCAGAGGCAGGCCAAAACAGAAAAGACCTAGAGCTAATTAAAAAAAAACAAAACTAGCAACAATAAGCATCTCCAATGTATTAAGTGGTTTTGTCGACTTCAAATTCTACAATATGCTAGTAATAACAAAACTAGTAATTAATTGGCACTCAAAGGCCTGCACATTTCTATGATTTCGTGACTCAATCCTAAGAGACGCCCCCACTACGAGCTGCGGCATCAAAAGAGCCTACTTAGTTAGGATAACTGTATGTATGTACATTCCTAACAGACATTTTAAAAATCATAATACTACTTGCTACTGTTCCATTTACTTCATAGCATTACATAATAGATCCAGATGTGATAGTCGCAAGCGACATGTTCAGCGACACCGCTTATAGACGTCGCGACTAAACAGCTATTGGGAACAACTTACTGCTTCTCCTTCGGCGAGTTTTTTCTGACGATGAGAGACTTCATAATGTCGTTCCCGACACGTGTCCGAAATTGCCTCTCCTCTCTACGAAGGTTCAGACCTTTCCCCGAAGTCAACCGATGAAATCGATTGTAACTCAACCAGCTCTCCCTTTCATAGCGTTTACTTCGTTGGACGGCCGCGACAGCGGCTTTTCCAGTCACATTTGCCTATAGTCATTGCTCTTTTCAACATGTCACTAGCAACGGATGTTCGAGTGAGCGCTTTCGGTGGCAGCCGTGAACATTCGAACATTGTTGTTACTGGCAGCGTCTTAAGAGCTGATAGGCATCGTCACCATTGCAAACAATGTTGTCGCTGTCGCCATTATGACGGCAGTTTTCTTCTTGTTAGGAGCTGTTCTATTGTTCCATTGTGCTACTGCTTGAAGACTAGCATGTTTTTTGCCGACTCGCTCGACGCTTGAGAACATGGCCGGAGCAACTAGGCAAGCTGGCGAGTGCTTCGACAGAGAACCTAACGTTGTTTGGGCCCGAGCTGTCAGCGCCCATCGAAGCTGACACTCAGACGGACACCAGAGCCGACGGCAGCGATAATGATAAAGGAGCATATCGTGGGACGTTACGGCAAAACACAAACGGAATCGTGATCGGCGTAAAGCGCAGTTATCGACGCTGCCTTTACTTGCTTCTGTTCATTGCCCTGTTTTTCTGACATTGGCGACCTGCCGTAATGGCCTTTTCTTCACGGTGGGATCAGCTTCTCGCCCGCTCAGTCGCTCCACCGTTGTTTATGGTACCCATATGCGTCTCGTTCCAAGCGTATAGGAAAGGTCTGGCGGTGTGCACGTAGTGGGCGATGCCGGTTTTCTGTTGGGTCCGTTAGCGAACGTTGGCGATGCTGCGCGACAAATACTCCCCAGACTGTATCTGACACTCCCGCGAACAGACCACTATAAACCAAGAGCTATTCGGCTACTGAAGTGGAGACTGCCAAGCCCATGGCTACAAGTTGTGCCCAGTGCTCTTCGTCACCGTGGGTGTGAAACCCCGAGTCAACCGCGAGCCGGCTGCCGGTCGGGTCGCCACTCACACACAAGCAGAAATAGCTCTTAGTTTTTCGTTGTTGCTCGTGACCGAGCTTTGCAAAGTGGCATCGTCACTTATCTTTGACTCAATAACGAAATCGGCGCAACAAGCGAGGGGTAACGCTGCGGCGAAAATATGGATAGACACGAAGCATCAGAATGAATAAGGGTGGATTTTGGCTGCATATGAGTGAAGTCAAGTGATGTAGTATAAAATGTCACAATTCAGACTGCGCTTCTAAAATTTTGGTCGCTGAACTGATGACACCACGTTGAGCTCCAGAAATATATAATAATACGGTTACAAGCTGGGATTGTGGCTTCGAACATGTGATTTTGTCTGGAACAGTAATGCAGGAACATCTCCTAATATTGCGCCATGTAAATGTATTGTTAAGTTAGTTTAGACCGACGGGTGACTTCGATCTCTCTGCGGGGGATCTAGTGAATTCATTGAAGAAGACTTATCCTTAGTGAGCTCGAGTGTAAAGAATTAAAAGAAACAATATTTGATACCGACCCCGTATAGAACAAGAACAAGCTTGATGTCTGTACGTATAACTGCCGGTCCTCGCTGCCACAAGACATATGTCACATCATGGTCGAACCTTTTTTTTTGTACAGATGAACTTAAGGCTATTAAAACCTATGCTTTTTGCAATAGACTTCCTGACTGTGGTTGGGTGGTAATTAAATTCAAAACATTTTTGCAAGACATGCTAATACTCTTAACGTCCTCAAAATTTAAGCGAGAGACTATGGCTACAAGTGGTGAAGGATCAAATCACCTAGCTTCATTTGGGGATCGATTCTGTTACATCGCGTTGGTGAATCCGGCACCTTATTCAAGGTTTATCATGGTAACCACAATCCGCGCGTTCTTCATCGGACAGGTGAAATCACTTCTTTTGTCCTTATTTTTGTCCAAGTTGTATCGGCAGACATCTGGAGACTAATGCTCATGGTTATTCGACCCGGCAGAAAGCCACGGAGCGTTTAAAGTTACTCAGACGCGCAAAGGAGCACAAAACACGAGAAGACTTGCTAATGAATGTCACTTCTTTTCATAGTACAAAAGCACCGCGAGAATAGCTTTGAATAATTGTTTATACTATAAATTTTAACTAGCTCTGTATAATAGCAAAGTATTAGCAGATGCTTGAATCTAAGCACGGCTACGGTTCGATTGGAGATCTTTATTAACTATTTACTACATTCCAGAAAGCTACATTAATACTTAGGAGCTTTTAAACAGAGCCTACCAGACAGGCCCAGCGCCTACGTGGACACATGGATTTCTGCATAGAACCGTATGACACTTGAGCTAAAATATTCTTTCAGGACGTTAATATATAGGACTCATTTAGGCACGTTAGGTCGTACGGGGGACCTTAGCTAGCAACAACAACAGTAGTAGTACCCACTTTATCGACCCACTTCTCAGTCCTGGGTCCGTTTAAGTATGTTTTAATTACTTCGGCTAATCAAATATTTTAAACGGTTTAAATTGTCTTATTATTTCCGGGTGAGTCACCAGTTTGGGTCAAGCGTCTTCTCCGACGACACGACATTCACTTACGCAGTCCTTACGCAGGTTAATAAATGTGCGGTACAATATAACATAGTTAGTTCGCTATTGCAAAACTATATAGGATACGTATAAAACTATTTGTATTGCCTATTTTTTAGCTGCGGCCTGTTGTTACTGCACAGTTTTCCATACGTAGTCTAAATTTCAGATCAGACGGATCTATCTGGCTGCTGACTGTATTAGCAATATGTTGACCACAGGATCCTGATCAAAACTTATAAAAATAATAAGCCTGTTTTCCTGATGGGCTCTGCTCACCGATGGAGATGCTGGGATGTTTCGTAGTGCGAACCGTAACCACTAAGGCAGTTCCGCGAAAGGTTTCCCAAGTTGACTTTAGGATAGGTGTCAATGTTACTCGAGACGTGGACAAAATTCGATGACTGTTAGATCTACAATCATAAACACAGTAGATTAGTGACGAAAACTCGAGTTCAGGCTTTCCATATAGGACAAAGCTGTGTTCAACGAGGCACAGGAATATTGTTTGCAACATCATTTTAGATGTTATCTTACGCATAGGAACTTGTTGTTCCATCTCATTATGTCCTGAAAGTCTGTCTTCACAGGGGGATCAACGAAACCATTCATGCTGTAAATCGAAAAAAATTATCACTTTGTGTTTACAAACCGTTGGACTTTGATGATATCTAAGTGTTTCGTGCGTTCTGTACCCATTTTTCTGAAATATCGTGTTCCCTGTGACACGCAAGTGAAGAAGATGGTGCCATAGAATAATGTAAGTATAAATAAATTCTAGCCCTATTTAAACGTAACCTGGTCTATTTGTCGTTGAGTAAAGTAATATGTTAGCAAACCTATGTCTTTTCTCGACCAACCTTCCAAACTTCTTCTATACGCCTTAAGCCACAACAAAGGAAATTTAAATGAATGAGCTTAAATCTCCAGGTGCAGCTTAGGGTCTAAATGGTTCAATTAATCGCCATTTTTAATTAGAGCAAATACTGGAAAAATGGCTCGAGGAAAAGGAGTTCTGCCATGACTGCGTGTCTATGCAAGCAATCGGTTGGCTCACTAATTTGATACAAGTTTGTCACAATTTATTGAAATGGAACATTTTAACTAAACTCTGTGTTTTTAGAGTGCAAATTGTGGAATAATTAAGACATCCACATTTGCCTTGATGATGAGTCGTTCCGCTAGACAGACGTACGTGAAACGAAAACAGGCTCTTTTCTTTATCAGCCAAACAGCTTCATCCAGCGTAGATCTGTGTATTGGAGTCCTTACGAGTAATCAGGCAGTTCGGTCTGGAGCCAGCAAATTCCGTAGAGCGCCTGCGGTTGCTTGTTTGCTCGTATCGACAACAAAATGGACATTAGCCGTCCGAAATTGGGCTAATGAGATTCTTTGTTCTGTAATGATGCAAAAGTCTACCTAGCTAGAGCTCTGACAAAGGTGCAAGGAGGGCCTAAGTAACCAGGATATAGCTAGCCACTCAAACGGAACCTAATCACCATTGACGTGAGGCCTGCGTTATTATTAGCCTAAACAGGTAACGAAAGTACGTAAATTAACCATACGGAATTTCAACTTAATATTATTATTCCAAGCAAGTTTATGTAGGGGTATTTTTAGCTATCTAGCTGCTCAGAGAAAGATTACAAATCACATAGTTCATTTGAGCGATCACATACTAAAAAATAACGCTTATACTCACCATATATTCTCACGATCTGTAATAGAACCATTGGACTATAGTAGTTTCACCTCTGTGAGTACTGGAACCTATTAGTCGACAAAGCAACGAATCATTGTCAGCTTCAACGATACGCTTTACTGATTACCTTGTTGATCTTATCAATAAGACAAGCTATCCTCGAAAGCTTCCCAGCGTTGGTTAAATGATCTGGGCCACTCGGATTGTTTGCTTCCAGTGAGGACTTCAATTCTATATTCAGCAGCGTTATAAACCCGCAGAGCCGATTGTCGCTATAGCTGCTCAATAACAAGACCACACGACAAGATGAACCGCTTTGGCGTGCACGCTACTCATGTGCTGCCTGTAGCGCCGCACACGTTCTATATGTTAGTACATTGTGCGCACAAGACTGTGATAGCCGTCCCCTTATCGGGCGTGTCCGATGGTAAGTTTCAAGGTGACTGCACTATATTGTATTCTATGTTATTTTCCATATCTACAGCGTACGCTGTTTATAGCCTTTTTGGACAGATATAGGGCGTTGTCAGCGTACTGCTACATAGGACCTAGCCTGGCTTTGGACTGTCACACAGGTGCGTTGTGATATAGCATAGACACGAGCGGTCGACAGTCATGGCTAGCTCAAGCCCTCGGCTGTGTAGTACCATTGGGTAACGCTCTGATGAACGGTACGCTGCATAGATCAAATGCGCGTGCTATTTTTACACGCATACGTATACCTTTTAGGATAGTATAGAGACTACAAAATATTATCGTATAGGCTGCTAGTGTACATGTATTGTGCGTTATGCATTTTTAAGCCTTGCAAAAACGTGGAGTTTACTGTTGTTTTTTCTAGTTGCCTCAATAGGAGGAGGGTCAGTAGGTTAACAGTGTTGTGGATCAGCCGATGAGTTGAGACTGAGAGAATTGAGATGGATATCGTCGTATTCGCACATAGTGCACTCGGAAAGAGTACACACAAGTGAATTTTTACGGTTTCCGTCAAAATATAACGGTTTTACGTCAAATCCCATTCCTGTCCGTAATGTAACGACCGCAAGAAAGCTGGTCAATGAAGGCATCTCTATAGTGTAAGAAGCGACATTTGGCAGAAGTGGGGCAAATTGTCGCCATGGTGAGGTTTAGGCACGAGGAGAAAAGCTCATTTCCTCTTAGAATAAAATACCTGATCCGGTTCGACATCGGAACCATCATGCGCTTAGAGGCCATACTGAGTTCACTCTCCACGTTAACGGTAATATATACGTCTGATTCGCACCTCGGCACGGTCCGACTCGAACGCCACTTCACGGGAAGGAGTTTTCAGACATAACAAATGCTTTTCGTCCCATTTTCTCTTCGAGCATCGAGAGCGATAGCCAGTCTTGCCATAGTTATATCTGATTAATGGGTCGATTGCTTCGAGCACGGTTTTTCCTGGGTCTTTATTACTAAGCAGCAAATCGTGTAAATAGATAGTAGGCTGGAAGCAGAAACTTTAGCTCTATGCCGTATCTCTCGTATAATAAAGTCGTACCGATTTTATTTTGCATCAGAGGATTTTTACTAGTATCAGTATTACTGCCCAACTTGACAATTCGCCATAGCCGCATACGACAATGAAGTTAAGTTAGTGCCTGCATTGGCCAGCGCGAAGTTCCTCTAACTGACTGAGTTTTGCTGCGACAGTGGTTGTGAGCAGTAGCGCAAATCATTGATCTTTTGTGT